AAACCTGTAAAGGATCTCTGTAGCCGTGTCATTGTTATAGTACTGCTGTTAAGAAGGCCACGGTACTGTAACAATATGACACCAAATAAGTATATAGCTAATGATTCTAGTTGCATCAATAACATGTTTTAGTTATAAAAATAAACTTAAGAAAAGAATATTACGTATTAAAATAACTATATAGAACTATATAATAAGTGAAATAAATTTTTTTAGAACCAAACTCGATCATCGATCAGGTAAAGGTTGGTGAATTGATTTGTAGATTTTATCTTTTGCTACCCGGTTTAAATTAAATCAGTCTTCAGTACTATGTGCAAGTTCGATAGTTAATAATGATTTTAAAAAGAGGATTTAAAATTTTATGGCTAAATAAAAAGATCTAGATATAATATGATTTTTCATTTCTAATAGGCAGTCTATATAATTGAAACAAGCTGCATTTGGTCATTGTATATTCCACAATTCGCACTGTAGTATAATACATAGAAATTTACTATTACAGGATCTTTCACCTATTATTAATAGTATTCTGATTATAGCTATTTCATTTTTTATTTATTTTTTTTTAACCATTACCATTTTTTAAATTTAACTTTTTTTATTATCTAAAAAAATCAAATTTAAATATAAATAAATAAATAAATATCAGTATTTGAATCTTGTTTGTCAAAAGTAAACCTAAACTTCATAATTGTAAAACCTTTAATTGTTGGCAGACTATTGTTTATATGGATCTTGTTTATAAAAGAATTTTACCAATATTATCTGCATTCAAAAGGCCTGCTAAATCATTGCTAAATATTTTTGTATCAATAGCATTTTCCAGTTTGGTTACAATTTTGCATTTTAAAGATTTGCAAAAAGCTCTAGTAGTTTGTAACTTCTTTATTACAATTGGACACCACATATAATGCCCAAAAATCTTGCTACATAAATATCCTTCTATACAAATAAAATCGCTAAATTCAGGAATATTATCTGATATTATTCAATTTTAAAATAAAGTTCTTGAATAAGATCCCGAGTACTATATGCAGTGGCCAATATAATATACAATTAAAGTAACTATTGTCAAAGCTGTTTAAATAAAGAAAAGATACACATAATTGTGAGTATTAAAGAATAAAGTAAAATCAAACCACTAGCATTATAATCTTATATCAAATACAATTGACTTCTTAATAATGCTTATTCGTAAATAAAAAGACCTGTATATTGTAAAGAGAAAATAAGATGCAAAAAAACATATTTAGGAAAATACATCAAAATCTATTTAACTGTACAGTTCTGCATACAATACCTCTATGAAAAAGCATCCCTTTTAAGTAGTATCAGAATATTATTCAATTGTAAATTCTAATATTTTGAAAAGTATTCTAGTACTAGTCAAGTAGTAATTTATTACATTCGTGATCTGAATTAATAATCTTGTTATATGATCAACTCACATGATCAATACTATTTTCAGATCACCCTTCTTCACACTGTACCCTGTAGTATTGTTTAATTTATTTTGGTATTTTGAAAAAGGCCAGGATGCTATATGAGGTACTGTACAGTAAAGTATATTAAATTCAAAATTTCAATAACAAGATAATGGACTCTCAAAGAAAACTATACAGCTAAAGTTGGTATCAAATAACAATACCAAACTTGTAAACAATGACAATATATGAAAGCTAAGTCTTTGCATTCCTTTAGTTCCTTATAAATTTTACTATCCATGATATCTAATACAAAACTCACGAGGTACATATGCATATATATATGTGAATATATGTATATATGCATATGTACCTAACTATTGCTATTGTTTTCAAGTTTTGATTTATTATTGATGCCATTTAGTCAAGTTTACTTTCGCATTCTGAGTTATTTCAGGATATTAATTATTTAAAAAAAATTACAGACAATTGAGTACTGATTTAAAAAAGATTAAATAATAATATAATATATAATACAATAGAATTAATAAAAAAAAAATAAATAAATAAATAAAATAAAAAGATGAGCCTTAAGATAATCCAACTATTCTTTAGTATGAAATTATGAAATACCCATTTTTTTAAATATTTGATATCTCAAATAACAACACATGATTCATATGAGTTTAGTTCTATTGATAGCGATGCTATAACCTTTTCTAATGAAAATGAAGTTGAGTTAAATAAGTCAATTACATCTGATGCATCAGAAAATTTACATAATTTGGATGCTGAATCGAATTCTAGTATACTTGATCAATCTACATCTCATAATAGTGGCATTATAGTAACTAATAGTTTAGATAAACAGATTAAAAAAAGAAAAGCTTTTACCTGTACTAAAAGACCAAGACCACAGAAAAGTTGGGTGTGGACTATTTTAAAAAAAATAAATTAGCAAAAAGCCCTATTGTTTAGTTAAAGTACAAAATGAAGATGGTATCGAAGTAAAATGCAATCACGAATATAAATTATCAACTGAAACAGGAAATCTAAAATCTCATCTGTACCAAATTCATAGAATTTTACTTCCTGAGAAAGATAACAACCAATTAACACAAATAGTTTCAAACCAACAATTCTTACATGATTTTATAAATAAAAAACATCTTTATCTTTTTCAAAACAAAATAAAATTGCTAATTATATTCATATTGGCTAATTTTTGGATTTAGCAATACCTTTTAATCTATTGGTCTGTTTTAACTAGTTTTATTACCAAAATGATCTCCTCAATG